CGAGAAAAACTAGATGAACAGGGCTCCATTGGGGTGGTGTTCTGGTACCCACCACCCTTGGTACCTCCTGGGGGTGGTGATATGATGCCCACCCCCCTAACCACGTCCTGGGGGTGGTGGTATGATGGTGGCCACCCCCCTTGGTACCTCCTGGGGGTGGTGATATGATGCCCACCCCCTTACCACGTCCTGGGGGTGGTATGATGGTGGTCACCCCCCTTGTCGTCTCCTGGGGGTGGTGGTATGATGCCCACCCCCCTTACCACGTCCTGGGGGTGGTGGCGGTATGACGCCCACCCCCATCTGTGTGTCATGGGGGTAGCTCCCATACTTAGCCAAACTTGGAGATGCATGGCGCGCGTGGTGGCAAGGAGTAATGGGCCAAAAAACCAAATCTTCATGGCCCACTCAACTGATTTAAATTAATATGATTAAGTTGGCCTTATAAAGTCATTTAATTCCTTGTTTTTAACAGATGTGGTATAAGGTTAATTTTTAGTATAAACAAATGCCCCCAACTACTTAGTGCATAAGAATTATGGACTAAGTAGTTTCACACCAACTAGGCCATCAAACTCTAATAGTTGGCCTTACAATTTAAATGACCAAAACAATCACAATTTCTTCTCCTTTGTTGCCGTGTGGGAGGAAGGAAGGGAGACAAACATAATTATTCCATAGTCCTTCCATCTCGACACAACCGTGCCCCCCATGCCACTGTGACCACCAACACTTATGGTCACTCTTAAATCACACGGCGTGATATCTTTTGAAGTTATTGGGCTAGAACAACATCATGCCCCCCCCCCCCCTCCTAGTTAATCCAAACTACTACTAATCATACCCCATGCCATTCACCATCACCTCCATGTCTTAGCATGGGGTATATGGTTCACACCTTACAAAATTTTAAAGTTCGCCATGGTTAGGTAACCTTAATGGCCTGACAATACGAGTAATGATTGATGCTTACCAGTCGTGGCAAGATTCTCACATCAAAACCTACTAACTTCTTATGAAACTTGCCACTTTGGCATTTTAAATATATATATAGCCATGATTGGCTTTTCTATATTAATTAATATATATATTTTTTAATTTTTTTTATTGCATATAATAAGTAGTTACAAGCATCATTGATCTCCATACCCTTTGGCAATAACCAAAGTGCCAAAGGTATACATCCACTACCAAGTCCATGTATTAAACCAAACAAGCCAACCATACACCATATGGCCATGGTTGTTCAAAGGAGATGATTCTTCACAAGCCGACTTTGAATCACCCCCTACACCATTTTTTCCCTTTTGACCCTTACCATCACTTTGGACTTGGACATGCTTGCATTTGTCAGACACTATTACTTTGGAACTCGTGGTCATAGAGTTGTCCACCTCAATACTAGCATGACCATCCTCATTTTGTTGTGATGGCCCCACTATCTCACCAGGTACTACTAGGTATTGCCCCTTTCGTGCTTTAGCATTCTTACGTAGGAATCTCATCCTTTGAGTCCTTGTCATCCCCCAATAGCTACTGGTTTACTATGCATTTCATAAGTATGCCCTCCTCCTTGTGGCACATTAGGCATCTTGGAAGTCCTTCTCATGGGAACAGGACCATGTGCTACCCATTGCCTCCTTTGCCCCCAAACCGGTTGAATGACCCCTCTACTTGTCTTTGGTAAGGTGGGTATCTCGGCCTATGGGGTGGACCAAGTCTCTGTTGGTCTCACTTCATCAAGTCTAAGATTCCTTTGACATTGGGCACATAGCTTCTCCATCTCACTGGACACCTTAGACGCGGCCGAGTTAGCCTGCTTGCTCCTCGATGACTCTCCCTGCTCCACCACCATCACATTGGGGGTCCCTTGTTGCGGTGTTGTGTCTAACACCAGGTTGAAATGGGGAAGCTCAATCTTGGAGAAGTCTGAATTAACCATGTTAACACCAAGCACGTAGGGAAACTGGTTGGTATCCACCAACATGGCATCCTTCTTTGCTCAGGGAACTTGATGCGACCCTTCTCAATAGCATCCTGCAATATATTGCGATAAACCACACATGAGTTTGTGGAGTGTAGCATGTTGTTATGCCACTTACAATGTGTTTTCCTATTAACTTCTGGGGGGGGGGGGGGGGGGCACCCCCCTTGGTCAGTGGCGTTGCCATGATTCAGTTTAAGGTGGGTCCACCTCGAAAATAATAAATATGATAAAATAGTTTTTTTGAATATAATCTTACGTTGAAATTTTTGATAAATTAAAATGCATTAGCAATCAAAAATATCAAGAATATCACTCTGCATATATACCAAACAATCATTGATTTAGTTAGTCGTAGTGTTTCAAATGGTGTTCTTTATTAAGAACCTTTAGTGTCAATACCTCGAGTTGTTGATAGAGATTTAATAATAAATCTTATACCAACCAATAATTAATGATTTACCTGGTCGTTCGTTTTCGAATGATCTTAAAAAAATATTTAGTGCCAATAAATCGAGTTGTTGGAAGATTTCAATAATATATTATACCATTTACTATCATGCTCTCTTATAAGAAAGTAAACTTATACGAAATTGATGTTTGCACAAATCTGTATACCGTATGCTTAAGAAATGAGGTCGCCAAGATTCAAACACAACTTTTCGACCAAATATTCTCAACTAAACCCGACTAGTTTTCGATATCAATTAACTATCGTACCTAATTTAACCATTTTGCCCCAAACTAGGGTGGGTCGGGACCCACTCTGTTACCCTCTCCCTCTGCCACTGCCCTTGGTACCTCCTGGGGGTGGTGATATGATGCCCACCTCCCCTTACCACGTCGGGGTGGTGGTATGATGCCCACCCCCCTTACCACGTCCTGGGGGTGGTGGCGGTATGATGCCCACCCCCCTCTGCGTGTCATGCGGGTGGCTCACATACTTAGCCAAACTTGGAGATGCATGGCGCGCGTGGTGGCACGAAGTAATGGGCCAAAAACCAACTCATGGCCAACTCAACTGATTTAAACTAATATGATTAAGTTGGCCTTATAAAGCCATTAATTCATTATTTTTAACCGATATGGTACAAGGTTAATTTTTAGTGTAAACACCTACAACTAGTCATGTACTCGTGCACCGCGGCGAAGCCGCCTCATCCTCTTCCTCCGCCGCCGCAAGCAGTAATATACTTTCTAATTTGACCATGGCCGAAGCAGCAGGCTCCTCCACCATTCCAACCAGTCGTCTAGCATACGATGTCTTCCTCAGCTTCAGAGGATCATGGTTGTGAGCATTTGTAGCTCCACCCCTGCTCTATACTAATACCTGTCATGCTTGAAACATTTTAGCAAAAATGGTGCTGTGATAATGCACTCATGAACATGGTTGTGAGCATTTTTTGCAAAATTGGCCCAGTACTTCTCTATACTATACCAGTCATGCTTCAATCAACTAATCATGCTTCAATCATCTAACTTGACGATTTACATTAATTTTCACAATAATTAACTCCTCAATTAATGCATTGAATGCAACTAGTTAGCATTATTAAACACAAAATCTCACAATCCTTAATATGGACAACATGACTGGCTCAGTAAATGGGGACCAACGTCTGACATTGTCGAACCTTCAGATTTTTTTTTTTTTTTTTTTGACAACATCGAACCTTCAGATTGATGTTTCCTTGCCTTTTTCACTTTTCTTTTCCCTTATCAATTGCTTTCTCCTAGTTGGATAAAAGGGCCTCCAAGTCCCTTTTCTTCTTTTTACTCACTTATTTGAATTGTATTCAATATTTAAAATAAAATTTTATATTGATTAGGATCTCTTCAATTCTTTTCAAATTACTTTTAAAATTTTGAGGAACTATTCCATGTTTATCTAGAGAAGGGATATAAGTAAAATCAAATTTACTAAAGAATTATTCATCTAATGATGTTGTTTGTTGTAACTACAATGCAATTGGGTAGTTAAATGTTCGAATTTAACTATTTTCTTCTGCAAGATCATCTATAGCAAAGGATAGAAAGGCACGATCTTTGGGAGAAAACGAGTTATAGAAAACCCTTCCATACGATTTTTCTGCATAATCAAATTCAATCTTATGTAGATTGGAAGTTAATTAATATCTTCATAATCAAAGGTAGGATTATTTATTATAGGATGTTTCCTCTCATTTATAGTTTTAAAGTAACTGAAAGGCAATTTGCGATTTTTCTCATATCATATCCTACTAGCTATGGAACCCATTTTAAATATAACATATATACAAGATAATGTCCTAATTATCTAGCCAAGCCCAATTGATAATATATTAATTTTATTATAAGGATTACATAGGTTTACTTTTTGTTGGTATGGTAGATGTAACTTAAGAGATTCGAATCTAACTCCTGCAAATTCAAAACTAGTGGTATTATTACTAATGGACCAAACACTTATATACTTTCAGAGCATCTCATCACTTAAAGTGTACTTAGAGAAAAATAAGTTGTTTACAGTTAGTTAGAGAAGTTTAGAATCCAAAAGGATTGGCAAATCTGTTTGGGTGTGATTGGGAATACCTCCCAACCACATACCTTGAGCTGTCCTTTGGGAGCTTCGCCTATGCCATTTGGAATTCAGTTTCTCAGTTAAACATGCAGAGGAAATTGGAAGGCTGGAAAGGGAAGTACTTGTCCCTAAGGGGGGAAAGAATTATACTCACCAATAATCGATCGTATATTTTTTCAACATTTGGAATTGCCTTTCATTTTATCAAATATTAAGAAGGCAAAAAAGAAAAAAAAAAGAAAAAACAGAAAGGCAACAAAAGTTGAGGAAACTATCCCCACAAGACACACACATATACACATCTCTCAATCAATCAACCTCTAAGAGAAAGGATGACGACCAAAAGTCTATGACATGAGCACAAAACTTGCCTTTAAATTACCTAGCAAGTTGAGGGGCAATTTCGCAACCCACACCCTCCTCTATATAAAGTAAACACACTTACACACACACCCTCCATTCCAAGGGCACACAACCCCACACAATATTCAAACCCTACAAAAGCCAAAGCCAAAAAACTATGGCCTATCTCAAAACTCTCCTACCAACAAGGCCATCTTCTTCCTCTGCAACATCAATAACCGCAATGAAGAGCATCAAAGCCATGATCCACAGCCTGATCGTGGCTCACATCTGCCGCGCCTTTCGAGCCCTCCGACGAGTCAAATCCATCCTCCTCCAGGCCATCAAGAACCACAAAGACCTCCACCACTTCCCTTACCTCATCGCCGGTCACAACAGCAAGCAGAGGAAGAAGGTGTTCTTTGGGTCCTTCAGGCTTCACTACAACTGGGGCTCCACCTCTTCCTCCCGCGTCCTACCTGTCCCCGAATCCGTCCTACGTGGCTGCTCCTCCGACTCCGACTCCTACGTGGTGGAGGGCAGTAGTAGTAGTACTGCTGCTGCCCAGTGGTCCTCGTCAGAGTCCACGCTGGCAGGGTACCTCCTTTGGCTGGAAGAGAAAGACAAGAAGTGTGGTGGCGGCGGCGGTGGCGGGAGCGAGGAGGATGGTGATTATGTGGCGGCGGCAGAAGGAGGAGGAGTAGTGAATGAGATCGACAGGCTGGCGGAGATGTTCATCGCGGAGTGCCACGAGAAGTTCCAGCTGGAGAAGCAGGAGTCGTTGAGAAGATTCCACGATATGATGGCGAGAAGCATGTGAATCATCGAGATTTGCGCTGAAAAATCAAAATCTCGCGACAAGAAAAGAGGAGAAAACAAATGAGAGAAACTGGGAGGAGGTTTCTCCTTCTCTTCTATGTCATAAAAACAAAACTCTGAACTGCCGCTTGTGGGGTTGAAGGAAGGGAGGGAGGGGCCGAGGGGGAAGTACAAAGAGACGAGATGATGAGGAGGAAGGTATACATTAATTAATTAATTAACTAATTTAGAGCTACTAGTAGCTAGTAGTTGTAGAAGTATAGTCCAATTCTGGACTTAATTAATTAGCTTTTGTTTCTTCCTGGTTTGGTTTCTTTTGGATATATTTTTGGAAATAATATATATATATATATATATATATATATATATATATATATATATAATGTAAAACTAACTCCTAGTGTTCAATATAATTAATCTCTGAGATTAATGCAAACTAACTCCTAGTTGTGACGAATTAATAATTTTGGGTTGAGTTAATTGTGTTTGATGAAGTGGATGGGTGGGTGGGTGGTTGGGTGGGTCAAAGTTAGTTTGGCGGAGGACGTGGGTTTTTGGTAGAGAGACTATTCAATTGCATGATCTAACTTAACTTCCACTACTACTACAGCCACAGTTAGCCATGCATCTTGCATTGAGATCATGATGACATGATCTAGGATTGCTGATATTTACTACTTAATTCTATTTTGCGAAGTGGCAGATCTCGTGTTCGATACCTTCTCGAGGCTCGCTGTGAACTCCAGGTTTGGTCTCTCTACACCATCACAAATTGTGGTGTGTGCGTGTAGATGTTCCTGTGTTATTAAAAGAAACATACTACGCCCTCTAATAGAACAAGAAATCAACTAATAATACACATTTTACTAATAAAAAAACTTTGTGCATGTTGGAGGGACTTATGAATTTGTTCGATGGTCACTAGATAATCTTAAAGTAATTTTCTTAAGTAACTATGTATTACTTTACTAGACAAAACAAAGTGAAAGTGATTTTTCAAAGAAATTTGACATCAGACATTTGTTTTATGATCCATAGAAGTCAAAAAGTGCCCAATCTTAAAGATATTTATGAATGATTTAAAATAAGAAAAAGAAACCACAGTATACTATACTAATTAATTAAAAGGGAATCATACACTACACTATAATCGTCTTGCTAATTACTCCTGGCAAATATGATGCCTATCAATCAATTACTGATTAATATGTGAATGGGGGAAGCCCTTGGTAATAGTGCCAATGATTAGTAATTCTGTATTTTTGTTTACCTTGATTTCTGGAGTGCAATCAAATCCATTTCTGTTCTGCTAGACTGCTACTTAATTAATTACAAGCTGGGTACTTACTTGATCATCATTTGGCTGAAGTTCTGGGGGAAAGGAGTTGTTGTAGGCCTAATTCCAGGCTATATTAATGTTTTAAGTAAAAAAAAAAACAACCAAGAAAAGAGCTCTCCAAAGGCCAAGATGTAAGGAAGATGTTGATTCCCTCTCACTTTGTTTTAGGAATATTACACTTTCAAGTCCGGGAATTCTGTAGTGCCGTACCGGCACGAGTGCCGCCAGCGCGTTAGCAGTAGGATTTGCAATGTTTAATTAGGACCATTGATTTTAATCACCACTTAATCAAGTTAGGTTGAACCTGATTGAACCTATTTTATATTTAAATCAATTATTATAGTATACAAGTTTCACATTGAAACGGAACAGAGAACTGGTTTATTGATAATAAAAAATATTTATTTATTTTGTTGCTTCGTTCCCAGAAACAGAAAATCCTGCCCCAAATTTACCGAAGGGAAAAAAAAAATCTGCCCTTGCCGTCGATTGCCACGGTGGAGGTTGATGACGGGCTGAAGGTGGTACATTGAAATCGATGGTGAAAATGAAATTGAATCGGCGGCGGTTTAAACGAGGGGGAGGAGCCTTGATGATGATGGCGATTTTGAGGGTGTCAGGATATGGGTGGTGATGGCCGACCAGCGGCAACAACGACGATGGTAGTTGATTGGCAGAATAGAGACGGTGATGGGATGAATGGGCGACGGCGGATTGATGACGGTGGTGAAATCGACTGTCGGGGATTCGGATTCTGGGTGGTGATGGCCGATCGGCGACAACGGCGATGGTGATTGTGGATTGCCGCGACAGAGACAATGGTGGCGATGACCAGCAGACGGCTTCGGGGCTGATGACATTGATGATTTTGACAGACGAAGGGTCCGGAATTTTGGTGGTGATGATCGATCACGGCAATAAACCAACAGCGACGGTGGTAGTGAATTCCTGCGATGGAGTTGTTGCTTGTTGGCCTTTGCTTTACGGTGGATGGACAAAGAAGTGAAAGGGAAAGGAACGGACGTTTTTTTTTGTTTTTTACCCTTTTATTTCTGCATTTTATTAATTAAATAGCAGAACCAAATCCACCCAAAAAATCACACCCCATTCTCTTAACCGATAAAAAAAATATGGCGGCACCACAGAATTCACCCGTCAATTTGTACTTCCATTACAAATTCCAAAAGGCATTAATATATGGCACAAAGTGTCAATTAATACATTATAAAAAGAGATAAAAATACATTAAAATTGGGGTATGCTTATGGTGACATACATGTTACCGTAACTTGCACTTTTAGGTCGACCTCATATAGGATTAGGTCCACCTAATCTGCACTTTTAGGTCGACCTCATATAAGATTAGGTCGACCTAATATGTTGTTTTAGTTTTGTGAGGTTCTCGAATACACTAATGTGGGCACTCTGATGACTTATCACGGTCGACCTTTAAAATGTAGTGGTCGACCGTTTGTAGTTTAAGTTGTCATTGTTGGTCGACCACAATAAAACATCGGTCGACCTTTTCATTGGCGTCAGAAGCAAAATGGTTGACTGTAAAGGTATATAGGTCGACCACTTGATGCGGTCATTAACAAAATGATCGACCATTTAAAGAAAGAGGTCGATCAGATAGAAGAGAAGTGTTGTATCCATTTATCCATCATCATTTGACGTAAAATGAAGATCAAGTGTTGATTTCGCGGTCAACCTAATCCGGTACGAGGTCGACCGAATACAAGAAAATCAACCTATGCCCTGTGTCTTTTTTGCTTATGTATGTTGATGTGGGTGGTTCTTTTGCTCGTACAAATTATGTTTCAAACCAACAGATTCAGTCATAAATAATGATAACAATGACTCATAACTTCCACGTGGTCGACCTCTTGAATCACGTACATCAGCAACCGCAAAGGATCTTCTTCACAAAAGCTCTAACCGTAAAAAAAAAAAACTAATTCAGAGTTTCGGTGGCGGTGAAGGTGACATATATTCGTATTTATAGATATATAGGACGCGAATGAGTCGAATTAAGTGGCAGATAAGTTAGGGTTACCTTTATGGTGTTGGAATCATTATCCAATACGGATACGGTATGCACGCGCTCGACCATTTGCTATAAAAGGTCAACCGCGTCGTTGAACCTCACAAAACTGAAACGACATATTAGGTCGACCTAATCCTATATAAGGTCGACCTAAAAGTGCAGATTAGGTCCACCTAATCCTATATAAGATCGACCTAAAAGTGCATATTAGGTCGACCTAATCCCATATGAGGTCGACCTAAAAGTACAAGTACTGTGACATGCATGTCACCTCAGCATAGTCCTAAAATTGGTTATGAACATAAAAAATAGTGTAATTCATAAGATACTAATTAACTCTCTCTTCTCCAGAAATCACAATTAAATTTTCCTAAACATCATTATTTTGATTTGATCGCTTTATTTTTTTTTTTCATCACACATGTAATAATAATTATTATACACTTAAAGTATTTTCATAGAGTTTTTAGAAAGACAACATATATACTTCTTGAGTATACAATATTTCAAGTGGTGTGATTGTTGGATGTACTACAATGTACTTCAACGAATTAGAATCTTCGATTATTTTTTTTATTAACTTAATCTTTGAATTTGAGTTTAAAAATCGAAATTTAGGTTTATTTATTAGAGGTTAAAATACAATATTATATTATAAATCCGATTTAATTTATTATCCAGATGGATATAACTCATTAGGATTATCGGAAGTACTGTATACGCAGGTAATACAGCGAGCACGCCAACGCCAAAAGGGATTTTTTTTATTTTTTTTGTAGAAGAAAGAGCATCGTAATGAGATCTGGGGAAATCCCAAAAGCAAATAAGTTTTGACGAAACTTAATATGCGAATACAACCTAACTTTTACCTTCCACATGCAAATGACAAGAGCACAGAGAGATGCATCATGCTGGGAGGAACTCGTACGTACAGTAAGGACCAAGACTAGCCTTGTAATAATTTCTCCAACTACTCACCCCTTTCATCGAGATGCATGTGTCATTCCATATATCCTACCACTCCTCAGCAATTGTATTAGTCACTAACTACTTGTAATTAATTACTCAACCGATAATCTTATTGATCATATATGGCTATATGCGCTGTCATGTTGATCGAATTGGAAAACGCTGTTAGTGAATGGTATATGATCCACGATCGAACCTCTCTCAACAACTCGAGTTATTGGGATCAACTAGTTCTTGACATGGTATCAGAGCCTTATGTGACCGAAAGGTCTTGTGTTCGAATCTCGGTGACCTCCGTTTGTGAAGCACACTATGAGGTGACTGACTTTCATTTGAGGGGGTGTGTTAGTGAATGGTATATGATCCACGATTGAACCTCTCTCAACAACTCGAGTTATTGGTAGGGGTGTTCAAATGGTTACCATGGTTATTACCAAACCAAATAAGGCTAAATTTCATTAACCATGGAATACAATATCATAACCAAATCGTCCAAACTAATACAACAAACAAACTAACCAAACTAAAGTTTAATCGGTTTGGTTAATTGGTTAACCAGATTAACCAATATAAAATCATATTATCTTTAAGTGAGAAAAATTTCGGTGTACATAACCAGATTAACCAATATAAATATTTAATGTATGATATTTATCTAAATTAGGCGTTCAAATGTTGTGGTCTACACTCTACATATACAAATATACATTATAGGAACAATATCAAGCTTTATATTTTATAAAGTCTAGAAGAATGAACGTTTAACTCTTGAGTGGTTATTCAAAGTATTAAGTATGTGTATATATTAGATATATGGCTAATTATTTAGGGTTAATACCCTATTTTGGCCCGAAGTTTAGCGTAAATGACAGTTTTGGCCCCATTTTTCAAATAAGACATTTATGGCCTACTTTTGAAACTATTGGACAGATTTGACCCGAAACTTATGTTGACTGTTACTTTTAACGGTCAAACATTTAATTCGTTAATGACTCAGCATCTGGTGCTGACTAGGATCATACATGTCATCATTTATTAAATTAAAAATTAAAACTAATTAAATATAGGAATTTTTCCCCAAAAACTTTTTCACTCTCCTCTTCGGCTCCTAATTCACCTATTCTGCCGACTCAAACTCTCCCCAACAATCGCCGGCGCCACCCACCTCCTCCCTCTCTCTGGTCGATAATCTAGCCCACAAAAACTCTGCATCGCCGCCAAGCCATCATGACCTGGAGATCCAATCGTCGAAGAGAAATCTGGGGCAGAGGAAGCAAAAAAATCAGCGAATGAGAAAGGGTGGTGGAGGCCTAATCACTCCAAATCTTTCTTCTCGGCAATGACCTTTTTGCTAGTGATAGATTTTCTCTCCCTGTTCCTTGAGATGAGATTGAGAGGATGGTTTGGTAGGTGTGAACAGGGGATAAGATTTTGGAGGTTGTCTGGGTTTCTAAAAGGGTTTGATTTGGGTTTTTTTGGGTTTCTGAAAGGGTAAATTTGCTAATTGAAGGTCGAGGGAGGATTGAAGGTTTGGGATAAGATTTTGGGGTTTCTGGGTTTCTAAAAGGGTTCGAATCGGCGGATTGAAAGTTTTTTAAATGGTCGCCACTGGATTGATGGCCTCCACCCTTACGGCTTCCAAGATCATCCCTGACGTGTGGAGGTCGCCGAGGTCAGCCCTTCACTTTTGAACTTCTTGTCCAGCATCATCGCCAGGCGGCGGCGGCGTGCTCGCCGCTCCTTCTTGTACCCACTGGAAAGGAAAGAGTCATAGAGGAGAGGAATGAAGAGGCGGCTAGGTTACAGAGCCAAATCGCTAGGGATTAGGTTTTATTTTTTATTTTATTTTCATTTTCTAGAATGTTAAACATAAATAAATGATGTGGAAGCCATGTCACTGCCACCTCAACACTAAATGCGGAGTCAATGAAGGATTAAATGTTTGACCGTTAAAGTAACAGTCAACATAAGTTTCGGGCCAAATTTGTCCAATAGTTTCAAAAGTAGGCCATAAATGTCTTATTTGAAAAATGGGGCCAGAACTGTCATTTACGCTAAACTTCGGGCCAAACTAGGGCATTAACCCAATTATTTATCTGATTAATTTGGTTTGGCTGGTTAGGAGTGTCTGAAACCAAACCAAACCATCTAAACCAAACAAGGTAAAAACTTTAACCAAACCAAACCAATTATCCAAATTAACCAAAACAAATTCTCCAAATAATACTGGTTAATACGGTTACCTGGTAACCACACCGTTTGAACACCCCTAGTTATTGGGATCAACTTGTTCTTGACAAATGCATGCATCTAACTACTGATACTACACAATATAACAATATCAAATTAGAATAACACTAATTATCCATCATGGAACGTACTAGGTAATTAACCGAGTGATCATCTATCTTATGATTCCCTCATTCAATCGATAAATGAAAAGGCTGTATGTAATGGCAATAGCTGCTGGTTTTATTCTCTGGTGCGTCCCTTTATTCCAAAGCTACTTGCTTTTCACTCTGCTTCTTTTGGGTTAACTGTAGAGAGTGTAAAATGGATAAATATTATAAAGAAGTTTGTTAGTACAGAGTAGGACTTGACTATTAGTGTCACTGGATGAGAATCGAATCAAATTTTTGTTCCACTGGTCTCCTCGTTTCCTTGTTTGTTTGTGTACCAATACCATCTTCATCGATAAGCTACTACTCTGCTACTCTACCTCTTTGCCGGTTTATCCATTCCTCCACCAAAAGAATAGGTTTATTATTTGATAGGTTTATTATTTATGTGTACTTTTCAGTTGGGTAATTATCATAAATGATCACAAACCTATTTACTTTGTACAAAACGGTCACAATCATTTAATTTTGTACATTTCGGTAACACAAGTATTAGCAAATAATAAAATGGTCATTCTGTCACTTTCCATCCAAAATTATGTTAATTTGATCTAGTCAGCCCTCCACGTCATCAAAATTATTAATAAAAAA